TTTATTTTCTGTGGGTGTTGCAATGCTGATAGAAGTATTATATTTTTTATGAGCACTGACAAAGCAATCAATCAACCCATACATTATTCTGCTGATATCAATATTTTCTGCATTTATTACATCAAGGGAATGGTTCCACATCTACAGCCTAGGCAGACTTCCAAGTGAACTGCTGGCCACCTTTACAAGGTCAGGTGATTGACCCCTACACTTGGACATAGATAACCTGGTAACATTCTCCTCATTATCTCCACATCATCTCCAGGGCTGTAGCAGTCTCTATACATTGTGACTGTGTGGTGTATATCCTCTTAGGTAGATTTACTATCACTGCTGGTTCAGCAATATTGTGGTGTAGCTTATATTATAGTGACAACAGGAGTTATATACACATCACAGTGACAACAGGATTTATCTGCACATCACAGTGACAACAGGATTTATCCATACATCACATTGACAACAGGAATTGTCCATACATCACAGTGACAACAGGGTTTGTCTGCACATCACAGTGACAACAGGATTAATCCATACATCAGTGACAACAGGACTTGTCCATGCATCCTAGTGACAACAGGAGCTGTATACACATCACAGTGACAACATGATTTGTCCATACATCACAGTGACAACAGGATTTGTCCATACATCACAATTGACAACAGGATTTGTCCATACATCACAATTGACAATTGAATAGCATTCAGATTGATAGACAAACATGATGATACCATGGCAATTCACTAGATCAGAAATTTGTTTTAACAAAAAGAAGCTTTAATGAAGCATCAATATTTTTTTCATCTGCAGTGTTACAGTTTTTATCCACAAAGTGTTATCATTTCAATCCACAAATGGTTACAGTTTCTGTCCAGTGTTACAGTTTCTGTCCAGTGTTACAGTTTCTATCCACTCAGTGTTATCATTATCCACTCAGTGTTATAATTTCTATCCAGAAAGTGTTATCATTTCTATCCACAAAGTGTTATCATTTCTATCAACAAACTGTTATTATTTCTATCCACAAACTGTTATCATTTCAATTCACAAAGTGTTATCATTTCTATCCACAAAGTGCTATCATTTCTATCCACAAACTGTTATTATTTCTATCCACAAACTGTTATTATTTCTATCCACTCAGTGTTATCATTTCTATCCACAAACTGTTATCGTTTCTATCCACTCAGTGTTATCGTTTCTATCCACATATTAGTGCAGTGTGTACATCGTACAGGAATGCGTTCAAGTGTGGTTCGTTATAACAAGTTTGTTTATAGAATCTGTCAGAATTGTTACATAGCCTTGAGGCAATACATTACATAACATAGACAAAGTACCCCGGGATATCTACACAATACTACCTAGATATAGGACTGCTGCTCAGCAGCCGCTCACTAGCTTTATCTTCATAATCCAGCTCACTTCGTCAAATTAAACATAGTTAAATCTATCCTCCTAATATTTCCCCAAGACATCACTTATATACACTGAAAATAGAAAACCCTGTTTTAATCTATAAAAACAAACTTTATGAACAATCTTTATTATAATGGGTGTGCTGTATAATTCTGAGATATGAACATGACAGATTAGTATATTATCAAAAGATCTAACGAATCATAACAGCTAGAGTATTTACATAGGAAAGTGAAAGTAGATTGCAGTGAAGGCCCGAGGGTAGTACAGCTCGTCAATGATGGCAGATACACCCATACAAAAACACTTTGGTAGCCATGAAACTGATTTATCAGTTGTGTGTCATTATAGAGCCCATCAGATGTGACCTTATCTGTACCTCAAAGTAAAACAACCCTCAGCATCCTTACTCACAAGCTTCTATTACTGAACCCTGTACTTCTGGGGGATTAAATGGACAGATTATGTCATAACAAACAGTGATCTGGCCTCACACCTCAGAGGCTGTAATCTGTGGAGGACAAATTCAAACAAAGCACTGTCCTGTTAGAGGATGTGTTTGTTGTTTGAGTGGTTTAATACCACCACTATAAATCATAACCTGTGTAATGTTATCCTCCTAGATAAAAGCATTGTAAGGTACCGGATTTCCTGAAGAAGTACTGTATGATAACTTTCCACACAGGTATAGACAGTTTACTTTTAAAAATAATGGCAACTTGATACATTCTGGTAATAAAGTCAAACTTCTTTGTTCAACAAATAACATCAATAATACGGTGTTTGGTCTTTTTTGATGTTGTTGCTACTGAAACACGAGTCTTTTTTTAGTCTTCTAGTTTAACTTAGAGTGATATTAACATCCTATCATAATGACATTCAAACTCAAATGTAGTCAATACTAACATCAGGTACCAGGAACAAGAAATGGTGATTAATTAAACCAAGCAAGACTTTCCAAGACATTCCAAAATCATCATGATGCTCCACACTGTTAAGTCTGCTAGACAGAGGGGCAGAATTTTAATTAACAACAGGAGAAATATATGAAATCAGGACTCCCTATAGACTAAAGTACTCCTCCCCAGCAGGGCTGCCAGTAACCACACAGCCCCTACAGAGGACCCCTGGGGGTCAGTACTAGTATGGTACAACATACAGAGTGGGCAGGGCAGTCTATCTCATACAGACATCTGCTGGTCAGTAGGGGGTCTAGGTGACCTGGCATGACATACCCTGGACATGTCTGGTCAGTCTGCATGTCCAGTCAGACAAGAGTGACAATCAAATGTCACCAACAATCTAGTACATCATGCTAGTTCTATAAACATGTTCTGTTATGATCCTGACTATTCCTTACTTTAACTTTCTTATTTTGTTCTGGGTTTAAACATTTTTACATCATATAAGATTAATGCAATATAGCCATATCCGAAAAATTACCACACATTGTCTTGGACCTTTCTACTTTTATAATGACTAATCTGTACTTCTTCTAAAACACCAGATAATGAGTTCTAATATAAAACAGGTACTGCAAACACCTGGTAACATTCTCCTCTAAACTATCATCTCCGAAATTAAAGATTAACCTTCCCTTAATATGCTATCCTACATTTTCATCTCTGGCCTGGATTCAAAAGTCTGTAGGCACTAGTTCTGAATAATCGGTAAGAGCATCTGACAGTGTTTTTAGAACTTTAATTGGAACAGAAGGTTAACCTGTGTATATAGGGACTTTTTTCTTTAGCACATTTTTTCTTCCATATTCCATACACGTTTGTGATGTTTTAAAGTTTAGCATAGTAACAAATGTTCCATGCTATTGAGATGTGCTGAGTATGCAGATAACTATCAACAATATTGTTTACGAGGACATCTTTGATGTGGCCCAACTCCCTTGTCCTCCCTCCTGTTATGTAACTTGTAACATTCACCTTTACCATAGAAACATTAGTAAGGGCCACCCTCATCCAGACACACAGGTAGACCTGTCAAATAAATCTACCACCAATTATGTTCTACACGCAAATGTAATAACATCACTAATGAGATACGCTATCAATTTTTGGAAGGATCTAAGCGATGTAATAGTACGGTCCAGCCTGTTTCCATCTTCTGCAGCTTTGACATCAATAACTTTACCTTGCAACTCATTTGTATGTCAGTTTCTGCCAAACTGTAAATATACTACCTGCCAAAGCTAGTATATTGTGTTCTGGGGAGTTTAGAGTTTTAGGATTTTGCCAATACCAACTTTCTTTTGCATCAGTGAGGAATGCACAAATTTATTGAACTTAATTACATATCATCAGAAATTGGCAAAACCTATATGCCTAAGGTAAATGATGAGTGTGAGCTTCTCAGGTCTGCCAAAATCTTAATACTCACTTTTTGAACTTCTGACCACCTCGAAATATTTTTTTAACCAAACTGTAAATGTTAACATTACTTCAAAAATGTTTTTATCAACATTTGTGAAAGACACCATGAAAACAGAATTTTTATAAATAAAATGGAATTGATGAAATGCAATTATTTAATTTCAATTATGTAGAAATATGTTCTGCGACCATTGAATATAATGACAATAAAAAAGAAGTTTCTTCATGAGATTCAGAGATTTTTCAAAAGTGGATAGTTGATTCTTGCCTCAAAGTTATTGCAGGATGATGACGGAGAAGTGTTTCTACAAACCAATTTGTTTGTTATCACTACATCCTATATGCAAGTGTCATGATGTGTATGCATTTTTAGTGTTCATTCAGTAAATGTGAAATGAACAAAGATTTCTACATTAAAAAAAATCCACCCTCTTTCACTGTATCCAAGGCTAACACCCTGTCTATGATAGAAGGTTCCCTGAGTATTAGGGCTTTCAGCCAGCTGATGTTCATGAGTGTCTGGTATAATTAGTGGTCAGTTTTCTATCTGGTCAGTCTGTCATGGCTGTATACTGTACATGTCCAGTTAACTTATATACCACTCAGAGCAAGCCCTGTGTTCCTGGATAGGCTAACAGCTTTCTTTGGCACCCTCCCATTATATTTCAAGGTCAGCAAACCTAACCTTGGATAGCTACTTAAAAACTTGTTTCTAATTTGTACTTACTTTCTTCAATTACTATCTCTATCATCTGGTCAATTAGAGCGTAACATGGTATCAATTGTAATTATAAGGGGAACCCTGCACAACATGCCAATTAAATCATGATACCATATCATCAACACTGAAAGGGATGACAAAACATATATATAATCAAGTATAGGATAATTGAGAATCATGAAATGTAGAGAATATTGACCGCTAAAAATATGTATAAGGGCCAAACAATCAACCTCTGATAGAACTGTATATTCCACATTTAATTGAAATAATTTCAAACATTATTTTTCATTTCCATGATTTTAGCAGCGAAATACTTTCAGAAAATATTTCCAAGTAACAACATAGCTAGAACAAAGTGGCAATAAGTACAGGTGTAAATTACACTTTGTAAAATTGCCAGCATCTTCCATAAGATGATGCATGAAACACAACAAAGTAAATAACATTGTGCGTTAATAACTTGTACTTACCGCCAACCGATGGTGTTGAAGTGTTCTGAACTAGACAAGTCATAGTCTATCTCTGTAGTTTGTCAATAAATACTTGAATAAATTAAATAAATTAAATAAATAAATAAATAATTTCACACTTTTTTATCTACATTGTCCACACTTTATGTACACTGTCTGTATGATGTGTCGCTGGTCCACACATCCCTGACCAGCAGTTGTCACAGACTGGATACTAGCTCTCCTGCCAGTGCTACTGATCAGCCAGTCAGCTGTTTACCAGACCAGCTGGGGGTCTATCAGCTGATATCAGCCCCTCCAGTCACACAACTCATAGGTCACCAGTCCACCTTACCAAGCTTTGGTTCCAGTCTGTGGTGGTAGGTCAGTACATCAACAGTTAAATGTATAAAAGCAGTTAAGTTCAGATCACAATCGTTGGCTGATATTATTACAAACATAGGATTCCAGTTTGGTAGTCCATGTGTTTGATGTCCTTGGTTGTCCTTTGATAGTTGGTTGCCTGGTCAATGTGTTGGTGTGGTGTGGAAGTGACCAGTGGTAACCATTTCTGACCCTTTGGTGACATTCGGGTACACTACACAAGTCCAACCCAGCTGCCTGGCCAGGCAGACTAGCAGTGTGCTATTCACTACCATCCACCAGTACCAAGGCAGGCACCATTCTCAGAGAGAGGGGAGAACTAATGTGCTCTCTAGGAAATGCTAATGATAACAGCTGAGTCTGGTCGATCCTACTCCTCAGTAAGTGCTATGTAGCTGTGGTATAATGGCATCCAGCTTACTTGTGGAGGGGAGAGAGTCCAGTCAAGGTATGCCTTAACATCCCTCAGTACCTATCCACCAACAGTCCAGGTGGTGTTGATTAGTCCCTTGTCAGTACATACACACAACAAATAGCTCCATCCCTTTACCTACCCTGACTAACAGGGCAATTTCATCATCCAACTAGGGTAGGGCTAACAGGTACAGACACTTCAGCCCTTTATTGTAGGGTCCCAGCTAGGGGAGGAAAATAGGGTCCCAGCTAGGGGAGGAAAATAGGGTCCCAACTAGGGGAGGACAATAGGGTCCCAGCGAGGGGAGGACAATAGGATCCCAGCTAGGGGAGGAAAAAAGGGTCCCAGCTAGGGGAGGACAATAGGGTCCCAGCAAGGGGAGGACAATAGGGTCCCAGCTAGGGGAGGAAAATTGGGTCCCAGCTAGGGGAGGACAATAGGGTCCCAGCTAGGGGAAGAAAATAGGGTCCCAGCTAGAGGAGGAAAATAGGGTTCCAGCTAGGGGAGGAAAATAGGGTCCCAGCTAGGACAAGAACAAACAACCAGAAACAATGGGCACTAGCTAGGGAAAGAAAAAACAAATGGCACTGCCACTGGCCCTGTTCAGACTCTCAAGCACTTCATCTATACCCGGCTAACATAGGGACCCAGAACACTGCTCCGAGAATCATTTTATTTTTTATTTTTAAGTACTGATTGATTGCTCTATATCCTTGTTCTGGTTACTGTGCCTAGGACAATTTCCTCCAGTACAGTTTGTTTGTTTGTTTGTTGATTGGTTTCCAGCCCTTTATGTATGAGGTGGGTGGGGTTACTCCTATCAGGAAAAAGGTGTCAATTAGCAATCTAGCATATAGGACCTTGGGGCAGTCAGGAGGGTATATACCAGCACAGGGACATATTTATTGGTTAATAAACACCATGGTGTTTGTATGTTAATCCAAAAGTTTAAAGGTATCATTACTGTCATAATTGTATTGAATATAAAACAGATTTTCTTATCCAATAAGAATTATTATTGTCCAATAACTTGTTTTACCTACCTTCATTTAAAACAAAACAAAATCAGAAATCTTTTACCTACCAGGGACCATATACATGGAACATTTTACCTGAACATGTTAGAAATGCACCCTCACTATTGTCTTTTAAACAGAGTGCAAAAGTTTTTTTTATGGACTTATCTTAAGTACTGTATTGGATATTTTATGCAATTGCATTTTATCATGTTTTATTCTATGATTCTCTGTTTTATGTACATTTTGGTATATGGTATAGTTTATAACTACTTGACCAAATGTAAGACGAGTCGTTGACTTAACTTTGTCATCAAGTATAAATAAAGACTATTATAATTAACATTGTGATCCAGGCACCTTTCACTGTTGCTGTTGAACTAAATGTCATTATGATCTATCTAGGGTAATGGGCTGCTGACCACTCCAAGCTCCCTTATTTTTGGACAGTGGTGTAGTGGTCAGACACTGGTGTTTACAGTCTATGCTGGTGCTGTAGATGGTGAGTTCCAGGCCCGGACACAAGTCAATTCACTGTCCTCGGTCATTATTAGTGTATCTTTGTTCCATATGTATCACACTGCAATCCATTTTCTTGTAGATGTTTTATATGAGGCTGTGTTCATTACAGTCAAATTATGTTTGACCTTGTTGTGTGAAGTTGTCCAGCTCAATAAACTCAAAACATTTTTGAAGTTCCATGTCAAAATTTGTGCACAAAACTTTGGAAACTGATTTCATGTTATAGTTTTTATTGGAAGATTGATTCATAAGTCTAAATGTCAGCATACCATCAAATAGTTCATATTCAAGAACTTAAGAATAAATCAGATTTCTGCTTTGAATGAGGTCATTACCTTTCTCATATATCATACCATAGGTATGTTTTATATAACACAAGTACCTGTGACCTGTCCCACAACTAGGGCCTGCGGGTCACTTCTACTACACCCCAGGATCAGCAGGGGAGGGGCATTTCCTGACTGGGTTTAGAGCTTGTCAGCCCTGGGGGCACAGGAAATGGTCCAGACCATTACTTACATCTTGTTAAGACCACAATGACCACTGATGTCACACCAGCTGGCAGTCAAACTATCTAATATTATAGGTAGTACTAGCTTGGTTTATGGCCACATTAGGCTGAGGTCTACACCTGTTGTTATTTACTCTAATCTCCACCCAGACTGACCACAGAACAGGAAATCATAATAATGTAGGACCATCCAGGCCAATAGACAACCAGGACCATCTCACACACACACTATACTCTAATTAGTCACTGTAAAAGACCCTCTCACACACACACACTATACTCTAATAAGTCACTGTAAAGGACTATCTCACACACACACTAGACTCTAACTAGTCACTGTAAAGGACCATCTCACACACACACTAGACTCTTAACTAGTCACTGTAAAGGACCATCTCACACACACACACTATACTCTAATAAGTCACTGTAAAGGACTATCTCACACACACACTAGACTCTAACTAGTCACTGTAAAGGATCATCTCACACACACACTATACTCTAACTAGTCACTGTAAAGGACCATCTCACACACCCACACTATCCTCTAATAAGTCACTGTAAAGGACTATCTCACACACACACTATACTCTAATTAGTCACTGTAAAGGATCATCTCACACACACACTAGACTCTAATAAGTCACTGTAAAGGACCATCTCACACACACACTATACTCTAATTAGTCACTGTAAAGGACCATCTCACACACACACTATACTCTAATTAGTCACTGTAAAGGACCATCTCACACACACACACACTATACTCTAATTAGTCACTGTAAAGGACCATCTCACACACACACTAGACTCTAATAAGTCACTGTAAAGGACCATCTCACACACACACACTATACTCTAATTGGTCACTGTAAAGGACCATCTCACACACACACTAGACTCTAACTAGTCACTGTAAAGGACCATCTCACACACACACTGTACTCTAATTAGTCACTGTAAAGGACAATCTCACACACACACTAGACTCTAACTAGTCACTGTAAAGGACCATCTCACACACACACACACTATACTCTAATTAGTCACTGTAAAGGACCATCTCACACACACACTATACTCTAATTAGTCACTGTAAAGGACCAAAACTAGCCAGTCCAGACACATGTCAAAGTTTTCTGATAAGATCATAATCCATGAATTTTTATATGGGAGGATTCTCTTACCCTTTACATGAATAACAATCTGGAGTGATCAATTAATATTACAAAATGAAACTATCTTATTTTTTTTACCACTAACTGTTATATTAATATCTATATAGCTACATATACCACATAGATATCTCCAATGTCAGACGAAACAAAAAGCTTTATCTGGATGTGTAGATAGCACAGACTGTCTTAATGTGGTTTCAAACTTGGTCAAGTGTCTAAATTAAACTCATATTAATTTTATAAACTTGAGCCCGACTATGCAGTAAAGCTATGCTGGTGAGATTTTGACTCCAACCCACTGTTGCACACTGTTACTGCTAATTGTAGACGAGGATGACCACTAATGTCAGACAAGATATTTCTGGAGTTTGAAGCTCATGTTTTGTAACATGGATGTAAGTCTGGTTATAAATCTCCAGGGAAATTAACTTCAGTCAAGGCAGAGAAAGGAAAGGTGTATTTATACCTCCATTTTACAACAGCAAAAACAGGAAGCTTACACACAAAGTCTTACATACTTCCATAAAGATGATGAACTACAGCTAATGTATAAAAGTCAATTCTAAAATAATGTCAAATGAAAACATCAGTTTCAGGTGTATTTTTTTACTGTTTTGATAAACATCTAAGGAATCCCAATAAACCAGAATAGCTTATACACACTTGATTTTTGCGTAGTAAGGTTTTCTGTTTCATTTGAAAAATAAAGCACTGAACATTCTGAGGAGAAATCCAACTATTATTCTGTTTATCTACTTATTGATATAGGATACTGTTATTGTATATAAAACAACAGAAAAAAATTAATAGAATATGACATTAATCAAAACAAATCCTAATTTTATTACGACATTGGGTACATCACCGGAATGTCATAAACTTAAGACGCTCTAAACTAAACTTTTAATAAAATTACAAAATTAACTCTGAAGGAATGTGTTGATAATGAAAGTCAAGAAAATGTGTAACCCTAAATAACAAAGTTGTAATATACAAACTTCTGCCAATTCAGATATTTGGCAGGAGCCTTAGAGAATCCAACAACCTCCTCCCCCTGCTTCCCCTCGCTTTAAAATGAATTGAAAACCCAGGATGTCTCCTCCCTCTACCCAGATGTTCCTACACTAGATATAACTTGTCCCCTACAGGACCCAGGATGTCCCCTCCCTCTACCCAGATGTTCCTACACTAGATATAACTTGTCCCCTACAGGACCCAGGATGTCTCCTCCCTCTACCCAGATGTTCCTACACTAGATATAACTTGTCCCCTACAGGACCCAGGATGTCTCCTCCCTCTACCCAGATGTTCCTACACTAGATATAACTTGTCCCCTACAGGACCCAGGATGTCTCCTCCCTCTACCCAGATGTTCCTACACTAGATATAACTTGTCCCCTACAGGACCCAGGATGTCTCCTCCCTCTACCCAGATGTTCCTACACTAGATATAACTTGTCCCCTACAGGACCCAGGATGTCCCCTCCCTCTACCCAGATGTTCCTACACTAGATATAACTTGTCCCCTACAGGACCCAGGATGTCCCCTCCCTCTACCCAGATGTTCCTACACTAGATATAACTTGTCCCCTACAGGACCCAGGATGTCCCCTCCCTCTACCCAGATGTTCCTACACTAGATATAACTTGTCCCCTACAGGACCCAGGATGTCCCCTCCCTCTACCCAGATGTTCCTACACTAGATA